AAGCACTCAGGGCTGCGTCACGAGCGCAGAAATGTCCCCCTGGTAGCAGTGTCGGCGGGCACAGTCAAGAGGTTAGGAAGATGGAGGAGGGAGGTGCACAAACCAGCGGTCGACGAAGGAGGGGCGCGCGCAAAGGTGTCGACAAGAGATAGCAACCGGTTAGAGCGCAGGGCTCATAACCTGATGAACTCTGAACCTGGAAGGCTGTAAGCCGCACAAAGAGAGGTCTTCAGTCTGTGAGAGAACGACTCTGATTGCATAGTACTGTACCTGTAAGCCGCACAAAGAGAGGCTACAAGTACCAGTAAGTAAACATGTAAGAAAGCATAGGTAGTATGGGACTTACTCTTCAGTCTGTGAGAGAACGACTGAAGAGCAGAGGCCTGCAGAGTCCTCCTTATATACTACTGGGGAGGACGATGAGTAAGCGTATAAGAAGAGAGCATGTGACGTCCAGAGGACGCTGACTGAGCGATGAGTAACGCTGAGTAAGGGAGCATAATCGACATAAGGTCAGATAGTCCATGGCTGAGTAATGCGAGTAATCCGGACGCTGTCTAGAATAGTCCGGAACATCGTAGAACGTACCAGAATCATATGGAGGGATGGCAGGATGCCAAGTAAGTACAGAACAAAAGAATGTACGTATATGGTAAGTAGGAAAGTCCATGCTGGCGTATGGTAGACGCACAGCCACTATCACTGCCACTCCCGGTCCGGCACAGCCGTAGACACAGAAGTTCAACAGACCTCCGCCTGCACAGTGTACTGATTGATTGTGGCAGCCTTTTGCAGCTTTCCGTAGGGATTGACGGCATCTAGAGCCTAACCACACATCCCCTAGCACGCGCAAGCTGCGACCGCCCGGCGGGCCTCCCAATAGCGGATTCTAATATGTTCGTGTACCATGTCAACAATGTCTCGTCTAGATACTAGCATTTGCATACGATGGTGTACAAAACGAGAGAAATTGAAATCAGAGTCATTTGTTTGCGACTTCTGCTCAAGACCATTAGATTAATAATATGTATATCATTCAGTCGAGCAAGGTTTCAGCCGGTGCAGACGGCCCTTACGAGTTATAGTTTGCTTCATGATCTTGAAGTCTTTCCGGGGCCCTGATATCCTGCGGTGTTTGCCATGGGTAACGTACTGGCGGCGAGGAGCCTCGTGGCAGCAGTAGGCGCCCATTAATATTGTCGTGTTAAGCTGTGCATCAGCGTCTATCGCATGCCACTCGCACTTTTGCAAACCCCGTACTTGCTTTGTACTGCCGCCCGTGTCGTTGTGATTCCCCATACGCTGGGTGTATACTCATTGCACCCTACAAGGTGAGCAAACGGTTACTATGGACTGGATGCTGCATTCTGCACTATCACGAACGGTGACAATGACGCGGCGTCCGCGCCGACTCCGAGTTCGAGCAGCCGGCGCCTTCGAGTTATGTCACAGTTTAAAGTCCAGTGGAACGAGGTCGCGCTTCGATGCTCAAAACGAACGCTCACACTGATTACAGATATTCACAGGACATTCGTACTTAAATTGCTTCACTGTCATATACCGCGGGAAGCTGCGACCCCAGTTGCAAGCCAAACATCACCAGGAGTCGCCGACGTCTCGCGCCACTCTATCATACGCCACTGTCACTTCCTCGTAGACGCGACGAGGATGTCCACTACCACACCTGATGCCAGCGACGCGCAGAGCGAGTCTTCCACTCCCACAGAGACTACCTCTCCGGAACCTACGGCGGTCGACGAACTTGAACCAGAGACGCCCAAAGACACGGGTCCTACATCACCACTTCCCGATGACGAATTCTGGTTAGAAGACGGAAATCTTACTCTCATCGCCGGCGACGTCGAGTTTAGGGTATACAAGGGCCCTCTGATAGCCAATTCTCCAGTATTCAGGGACATGCTTTCACTCCCCCAACCTATACCTACCCAACCGGATGATCGCCCCGATCTACTATGTCCATGTGGCTATGCGCCTGCACTGGTACACGTATCGGATTCGCCGGAAGACCTGAGGCATCTTTTGAGGGTGTTGGTTCCGGGGAAGACACCATGGTACGCCACTATCCAAACCCTCCTTTTGACGGGATAGCCACTGACAACACTCCAGGGTCGTTCCTGAGGATCCAACATTCAGCGCCATCTCCGCGTGCATCCGCCTCGGACATAAGTACGAGATCGACGTTGTTGTGCAGCGCAGCCTCGACTATCTCAAGAAACACTTCGCAGAAAGCTTCGACACGTGGGCGCGCGTGGACCCCCCGCGGCCGCCCGCCTTCCAGGGCGTGCACTCCATCGGCGTAGTTAACCTCGCGCGCATGACAAACACCGACGTGCTCCTCCCGACCGCGCTCATGAACTGCTGCATGCTCGACGCCACCGACCTTGTCCACGGCTTCGCGCGCGAAGACGGCACGGCGGAGACGCTCTCCGCGGACGACCTCGGGCGCTGCTTCCTCGGGCGCGCGGCGCTTATGCAGGCGAACACGCTCGCAACGCTCGCGCTCTTCAACCAGACGCTCGCGGAGGGCTGCACGCGGCGCGAGGTCTGCGCGCCCGTGTTTCTGCGGCTGCTCGACGAGCTGCGGAACCACGAGAAGGTAGTGTGCACGCTGGACTGGTACAAGTACTGGTCGGACTACATCGACGGGCGCGACGACGACCGCCGGCTGTGCACGCCGTGCTATAAGATGCTGCTCGAGCGCGAGAAACAGCAGCACCGCGAGATCTGGAGGCGGCTTCCCGAGCTTATGGGCGTCACGGTGGAGGGTTGGGCGGCCGACCTGCAGCCTGTTTTGGAGCCTGTCGCGCCGGAAGATATCTAGGTACGCCGCTTTCGTGGTGGAATTGGTCGCATTCTAATTCATGGAACAGGTCCGATGAATCTCATACATACCCTAACGCTTGTACAACAACTTGTAGGATTAAAATGGACACGAGCCTCTGCTTGATTTATGACTATAGTGCAGTCCGGATGACAGCAAGTCAGTACAACTTTTTCATTGGTGAGCTCCTGAGGGTCCCAGAGCGTACTAATCGATGGATGACTCGTGAGTATCCTTGTTTGTCACATACAAGGTGAGCCGCAGATAACATAGCGAAATAACATTGACATACATGGGATAACATATAGACGCATAGTAGTATGAGTTCGAAGACATAAGACGAGGAGATAAAGATACCAAAATATGGCAGGGACCACCGACATGAGTCCAGCGCACAACTGCAATGCATCCGCAGGGAGGACCTCCATCCGCGCCCCGCGCCCATCTTCCGCTAACAATCACCTCCAGACATCCACTACTTCTTCCTGGCCCACAAAACCTCGAGCTCGGTGTATTCATCCTTTCGGACAACCGTCCCTGCACCCTCCCACCACGACGGCGGACGCGGCGTCTCCGTCCCCCTCTCCTTTCTCTCGTAGAAACTCCACCCGTCTCCCTTTGCGCCCGCGGTATTGCGGATGCGCCGTACCAACGGCATCGCTACGCCGCTCACCGGCAGCAGCTCGAACATGTCCATAACGTGATCGCGCGCTATCACCGGGAAGAGGCGTGCGGCGTCCGCCCATACTGGCCGCCATATGACGGTCTTCAACGCGGGCGTGCGCTCTCTTCTCTGGGCTGCGCGGAACTCGGGGCCAAATGCGCGCCGTTCCCGCAGCGTGTCGATGTCCGTGGACCATTCCTGCCAGCAAAAGGTTCAATGGGTAAGTGCAAGCTCGAATGCAAGTGAATAAGATGCCTGATGACGTACCTCTTCCGCAGGTAGTTGGTCCCTGAGCTCAAACAATTTCAGCACTGGTGCGCGCAGAGCAGCACATAGGACCACAGGGGAGTCGGACTCCCAGTAAGGGTCGCTGCCCGCTGGCGCCAAGTCGCTCCCGCCGCTGTGCGGGCAGAGAATCGTGCGGACCACCCGCAGCGTGATCAGTTGGTCCCCGAGCTTTCGCGTGATGCGGGCCAGGATGTTCGTCGCGGTCGCGCGCGGCACATGGACTGACAAGCAGGTCACCTTGCTCCCGTCGGTGATGCGCTCGACAAAGGACGCCCCCGCGTCCAAAATGCGCAGATTCGGCCACACTCCCGGCGTCATGTCGAATGGAATGTACCCATTGTAGTCGTATAGCCCGCGGAACTCTTCAAGTTCGGATTGTACAGCGAGCGCGGGCCAACACGCGAGGACGACGGCGTCGGAATCGCACACGAACCGCTGCAGCCGCGAGAATGTGATTCCGGGGAGGATGTCCCGGACGGCATCCTTGTGTGGCTTTGCTCCCGATATCGTGAGCTCCCTCAGGTCGGGGAGCGAGGAAAGCGCACCGGCGAGGCGGAGCAGGGCGTTGGCCGACTCGCAGAGCCCAGTCAACCCTTCCAGAGAAATTGTGAGTGATTGTACAGCTGTGGCTCGATGATACACCACTGATCGCGACACCGCCGCCGTCCAGCTCGCGACGTCCAGAGGTGCGAGTGTTGCTCTCTGGTAGAGGATAGTCTCTGATACCGCCCCGATGTAACGGGACACCCGGGAAAGGTTGACGAGGTCGGCTTGCGGCAGGTCCTTGAAGATCGACTGCCAGATTTCCACGGGTACCTCGGTATGCGCCGGACGACCACCATGGGAGACGTGCGGGGGAGGGACGACCGCATTTAATAATGCTGTTGCGCTTGCGCGTGCAAGAACCTGGACCTGGGGGAGCGGTATGTCCCTCAGGAATCCCTCGAGAAGCAAATGAGAGGTCCGGCGTACCATCTGATGCGGTATTTGTCCCGTCCTGGGATCGACCGTGAACACCTTGCCTGGATCTCCGTCATCCACTCCCTCCTGAATTCCCCACATTGCTTGCCCATCGGCCGTTCTGCTCGTGTGGAGGTTGGCCTGTGTACGGAGCGACGGAGGTTAGTTCGGCTCCAAGGTTCATAGACACCGCTATATAGACACTCACTAGCACAGGATCAACGACGTCAAGCACCATTGACTCCATCTCGAGATCACTCCTTCAAAAATTAAGCTGAGGAGAGGAAGAGTGAGGAGGGACAGTAGCCAGAAGGCACTAGAGTAGATGGGACAAGATGAAGAGGAGCGTACGGACAATGGGCAGTTTAAATATGCTCGCTCGATCTTAGCCACCGTCCGGTAAGCGCACGCGTTCTAAATACTCCGCCCTTTGTTAACCACCGCGATTGTCCCAGGTACTGGCGTCCTTTCCGCTAGAGAACATCTGGAGCGGAGGCCCAGGGGAGGAAGTGTTTGATGTGTGGTTTCTGGTTACTGGCGGTTTATCCTATCATTATTTGAAACGACATATCCTTCACCTTCTACGAGTGTCTAATCAGCATTTCAACCGCTGCGTCCGCCAGCTGCGAGGAATTTCTGCAAAATGCGACGCGCTCGATGTGGCTGAGAGGGAAACGCGTCTGTCACGTGATCGCGAGGAGCCACGCGGCCGGCCGTGTTTTTGTCGCGATTTGACTCACTGCCGCAAACTGCGACGACCTCAACCTGCTCTGGGTGCATTTTGCGACGAAGTGCAGACGATAAGCGGTACTCTGCGCCCATCCGTAGGTGAATGCTCCCCTGCCACGTCACTTTTTGACATCACTCAAGGCTTGAATAAATCTCAGGACCGTCAAGAGCGACACCCACTGGCACAAGCCGCTACTCCGACCTGTCATGGCCGAATTACCTGCCAAAAGAGCTCGAATGGACGATGAACCTGCCAACTCGGGTCTCCTCCAGGACGAAGAGTTTTGGTTCGACGACGGTAACGTTATCCTCGTGGCCGGCGAGGTCCAATTTCGAGTCTACATGGGCCCTCTTATGCGGCACGCACCAGTCTTCGCAGACATGTTCTCGTTTCCCCAACCACCGGATCAGGCTGGTATTCAGCCCCAAGAAAACCGTGTTCCTACTGTCTACCTCGCCGACAGCCCTTCTGATCTCCGTCACTTCCTGCGGTGTATCACGCTCGGCAAGGATCTCATGTGAGTCGTACTCTTCCCCTGAAGATAGTCTCCGCTGAGGGTTGCTTAGGTTCAAGCACATCAGTGCAGATACTTCCTTCGACCGCGTTTCTGCCATCGTTCGTCTCAGCCATAAATATCAAGTGGCACAGCTGCTCGCTCCAGCGATAGAGTGCTTGGAAGCTCGATATCCTGCTAGTCTGATCGCCTACTGGAAGCGGCGCGAGGTCCTGCCTGACTTTGATCCTTAACACGCCATCGCCGCCATCAATATCGCACGTGTCACGGAAACCCCCTCCATACTCCTGGCTGCGTTCATGGATTGCTGCTGTCTCACCCCGGAGGAGCTCATGCATGGGCTCGAAAGATCTGGCCATCAACAAGAGATGCTCTCGGACGAGGACCTCCGACGCGTATTGATCGCCCGGACGAAGGTCACCAAGGCTGATGTACAGCTTGCCCTTCGTATTCTGATGCCTGAAGTGTCTCCAACATGTCGGACCGCGACACACTGTGTCAACGCTTTCGTCGACGGGTTAAAGGGTCTATGCGTTTCCCTCAAGCCAAGCAAGCCCTATAAGACGGATTGGGTGGGCACGTGGAGAGCGAAGTATCCAACTTTGGGGAGCCAGCTATGCGGTAGTTGTGGGGAGATGTTGGACTTGAGAGACGCCAGAGCAAGTTTGAACCTTTGGGAACGCCTACCTAAGATGTTGGGGTTGTGAGCGAAGGAGCTGGTGAGTAAGCTCTGATACTGCCAATTACGACTGCTAACCGCTACGATACATGTAATCGTCCCGGCCGCCGTTTTTTTTGCTTTCCACCCGTCCTGCTGTGTGTAGTGCATCCACGGAGCTGCACTGACAGATCGCCGCCTCAGGCGCTACCCCCTGGCGCCTAGAAGAAGCGAAGCCTCCGCCTTCTGTGGTCCTCGAGGCGATGCCACATGTCGATCGATACTGCCCTCACTATACATTTCACCGCGTTCTGTATGTCTGTACGCGAAGCACACAGCTTCCACCGCATTCTTCCTGCCTTGTGGTAGCAAGGGCACTGTATAAGATAACGTGCGTGTTCTCCCCTCGTACATCATCTCACCTCATCCTTCCGACCAGGCGTCACACCAATCTACTCTACCAGTCCAAAATACACTCTTCCCTCCTCGTGATGCCCGCAGATTGCGCAGTTGATGCATCTTTTCCAGCTGCAGAGCGCCGCGAGGTCGGCGTGCAAGCAGATCCAGAGCCTTGCGGAACATGTGCAGTGAGTGCCCCATTGGCGACGCCGGAAACCGTTTCGCCCTGTCAAGACGAAGAACTATGGTTCGAAGACGGCACTCTCATCCTCATCGCGCGGGATGTCAAGTTCCGGATATACAAGGGGCCGCTAATCGCGCATTCGCCCGTCTTCAAGGATATGCTGTCGTTGCCGCAGCCCGTTCCCGCGGGCGGAGGCCAGGCCAAGGCGGGAGCAGACGTAGATGAGGCGGACGGTTCGTGCCCCGTCATCCCTCTTCCCGATTCTCCTGAGGACCTTCGCCACTTCCTGCGCGTGCTCACGCCCGGGCATACACTGCGGTCCGTCCACCCATTCTCCGCCCTCCCACGAATACCCTCGCTCACCCCCAATCCTCACAGGATCGGGCCCATCGAGCCCTCCTTCGACGAGATCTCCGCATGCATGCGCCTCGGCCACAAGTACCAATGTGACCAGATGGTGCAGCGCAGCATCGACTACCTCAAGGACTACTTCCCGGACGACATCGACGTGTGGGTCGACGATGCGCCGCACGACCCGCCCAAGTTCGAGCCGATCCACCGCATCGGCGTCGTCAACCTCGCGCGCACGACGGGCGCGGACGCGCTGCTCCCTGTCGCGCTCGCGCGCTGCTGCCTGCTCGACGGCGAGATCGTGAGCGGGTTCGCGCGCGAGGACGGCACCCCGGAGGCCCTCGCGCGGGACGACCTGGCACGCGTGTTCGCGGGCAAGGCGCGCCTGATGCACACGAACGTGTACGCGACGCACCGCGTGTTCCGCCAGGCGGTCGCAAAGGACTGCAAGCGGGCGAAGGCGTGCGAGGGCGTGCTGAGGCGCCTCCTTACGGAGCTTGTGCAGGACGAGGCGGTGATGGACCCGCTGAGGCTCACGTATGCGTGGGGCGCGTACGTCGACCGGATCGAAGTAAAGAAGGGAGATGGGGAGCGCGAGCTCTGTGCGAAGTGCTATGCGATGCTGAAGACGGAGCGGGTGAAGGAGGAGCAGCGCGCGCTGTTCCGCGCGTTGCCGGCCATGATGGGTGTCACCGTGGAGGGCTGGGCTACGAAACCGGGCGCGGATGCGACTGCATCTACTCCGTGAAATCTGGTATCGACGGTCGTGTAAGTGAGTGTCAATCTTGCTTGTAACAAGCGTGTATACTGATGCTGATGTGGCGTAGCAGGTCTCGTTTCTTGGGTTGCGTACGGATACATTGTTTGAGAATCAGTGTTGTACAACATCTTTACTGTACAATAGCGGGTATACATCCTTGTAACAGAACGCAGTCCAGGTTTGGTGTACATCGTGTCTCGATAGCAACGAAGGCAGCTATTTCACATCGTCAGTGACGACGTCTAGGAAAAGCTTAAGATAAGTCGTACTCACCCTGAGGCTTAAGGCTCGCTCTTGGGCTTCTCTCCCCAATCCTCCGGCGGCGCGACTCCCATCATCGTCGGCAGCACCTGCCACACCTCGCGTTGCAGCTGCCGCGGCCGCTCCTCTTCCAGCATCCGGTAGCACTTCGCGCACAGCTCGCGTTCCTCGTCCTTATCGTCCACGTACCCCGCCCACGGCGCGCACCAGTCGAGGTTCGACACGAGCTCGATGCGCGCATCCCCGAGCTCGTTCAGCAGCCGCTGCAGCACGCGCAGGCAGCACGCGGGGTGGCGGCACCCGCGCGCGACGCTCTGGCGGAACATCTGGTGCGCGATCCGCGCGCTCGCCTGCGCCATGCGGGCGCGTCCGACGAAGCAGCGTCCGAGGTCCTCCGCGGAGAGCATCTCGCGCGAGCCGTCCGCGCGCGCGAGCCCGTGCACGAGGTCCGCGCCGAGCGTGCAGCACTCCATCAGCGCGGCGGGGAGGAGCGCGGGGACGTTCACGAGCCGCGCGAGGTTGACGACCCCAATAGCGTGTGTGCGCGATAGGGTGGAGGGGCGCGTGCGGCGCGCGAGGAGGTAGGAGTCGAAGTCTGCGGGGTAGATCCGGTGGAGGAATGCGAGGTTGCGCTGGACGAGCTCGTCGATCTGGTACTTGTGCCCGATGCGGATGCAGGCGGAAGCTTCCTCGAACGACGGCTCGAGGGCACCCGCGCTGTTCGCCGTTCGTGAGGTAGAGCTCGCGCGAGTGCAAAGTCAAACGACCGACCGTAGCGAGGATCCCGGCACGAACACGCGCAAAGCGTGTCTGAGGTCGTCGGGGGAGTCGTGCAGTGGGATGACCGGGCAGAGCTGCTCGCTGCTAGAGTGGTCGGTTGCTGGGGGTTGCGGTAGAGACAGCATGTCCCTGAACACGAGAGAGTGGGCAATTAGAGGGCCCCGGTAAACTTTGAACTCTACATCTCCGGCGCAGAGTATGAGATTGCCATCCTCGAACCAGAGCTCCGAGTCTCGTTTCGTCGATGAGGTTTCCGCTTCGTTGGAGGGTGGTTCCCCTGCAGTACTTGTCTCGAGCCAGACTTCCTGCAAGAGGCGAGAATTCGAGAGCATAGCGAACTCTCGACCGCCCGGTAGGAGATGGGATGTATTGTCGGGTGAGCGGCCTTAGAAGTACGAAGGTTCGTCAAGAGCCCCTTGTTAAAGTACTGTGCTCACAGATGGTCAGCTTTGGGCAAGCTCCAAGCGTTATCTATGGAGCGAGGGAGTGCAGGTATATAGTCCGTCGCCTGACCGCCCTCCTTATATACACGCTAGGGGTGTGAGCGAGGAAGCACTGCCTATTCGTGTCATGGAGAGGGTCACATGTCGAAGTCTGAGTAAAGCACGCCAGATGATCCCGCCGCGCAGCTCGTGCACGAGAATGCTCATGGGGCTTGGGAAATATAGGGGCGGTGCTCGAATAGTCTACATCCAGTCTCCTAGATGGCATTCCAGAGTACAGTCGCGCTGGAGGTGATGAGAAACAGTTCGAAGTGACATAGGGGTACCGGCGTTGCTGTCGGGCTAGATGATGAAAAGTAGAATAAAGCTGAGGCATGTTTCCAATTGCCAATAGATCTTGAAAATACCCCCCGAGAAGAAGCAGGAGGTTTAGCAGAGAGACTCGAGCGCAAACCTGAGTCACAGTGAGTGAGTGAGTGAGTGAGTGGTGTTCTTTAGAATCGTAAGCCGTATACACCTCCTAGCCGTGAGAATTACGATATATAGATGCCCTATAATCCTGTAATTCCTCATGTCTTATGCAACTCGTCATTAAGGGGACAATGATTCCAACGTTGGTTGTTCAAGCCGTACAGCGACCCGCGGTTAGAAAGCCCAGAGCGCACTATAACGAGATGTTCCATCGTTCAATGAACCACGGTATATTAATGTTATGTGTTATGGAGGTTGTGTGAGCAGCGTTCACATTGCGGATGCGGCGGGTGTGGCATTCGGGGGGG